ATTATCAAGGGCAATAAAATTGATATCTAATGATTTACATAATTGATCAACGGCAATAAAATGGACAAATTGATCTTCATAGAAGATCTACTTGGCAATAAAATAGACTTAATAAACTACCAATTAAATCTATCTAAAATTTTACCCATCACAATGCTAAGTTTCTCAAAGCTCATGTTTAAAAATATATTGTAGTGGATAAAGAGTTGCTAAAGCACTATAAAATTTGATTATTGTACTTGAATTATTTTACCAATCAATAAAAAATTAATATCATTAAATATTTGAGATAGTATGTCAACAAAGAAAGTGATTATAAAGATGATTCATAATATTCTTATTATGCTAAAAAGATTCATCACATTTTAGGAATTTGATTTTCTGATAAACTTTATTGTGTTAATAGATATTCTAATCCAAAAAGTTGAGTTCCACAAAATTTTTTCAATTTTTGAAACTTTCTAAATATCATTCAGACTGATACTAACAAAATGTTTTCTTAATATATTATATAATAAAAAATATCAATTTTTAAAATATTAAATAATAAAAGTATAGTTACTTCATGGTCATCGACAATAGTTTTAACGCATTTAGATCTTTCATTTTATTCAAGTATCTTTGAATCATTACTCAAAGTATCATCATCACTTTTATCTAATATCTTAGGCTTTCTTTTGTTAGGTTTTACATTATTAGCTTGTTAGTTGTTCATCTTAAAGATTCCTTAATTCAGAAGAAATTGAAGGCGTACATTTTTAGCTTCTAATGTTATAAGGTGTTTCATAATAAGACTATAATCATTATCATGAACTGAATGTTCATTAATTTCAGACTCAGCATTTGATATAGAAGAAACATTATTCAATTTCTCTCCTGAAGAAGTATTATTTAAGTCCTCGCTTATAAAAGCATGATTATTCTCAAAGTCAACATTATCATTAACTATTACTTTTGCTTTTCCCTTTCCTTTCCTTAAAAAAACATGATTATCCTCAAAGTCAACATCATTATTAACTATTAATTTTACCTTTTCCTTTTCTCTCATTACTGCGTTGTTATAAAAGTGAAAAAAAAATTGACTGTTATTTTATAACTTGATTTATAATTATATTAAAGATATTTCTGTAAGAAATGATAAAAATAAGAGAGATGACAGAAATTTCTTCGTTAAACTTATTTATATTAATTAATTTATTATGTAAATCTTTGTTTTACTAAATTTATGATGTAATTACTATTATTGATACATTGTACACTTTTTGATTTTTTTAAGGATTAGATCTTACATATAATCTAATCATAAAGTTATGAAAATCAAACAAAAAGGAAGTTTGCAATTTTTAATAAATAAAAACAATATATTTTTTTTTTCAACTTATTTTATATTTATTGATTAAAAATCATAAAAAAAAATACATTTGAACATATTATATTTATATACTCTTTCATAAATATTATTATTTTATATTTTTTAAAAAGCTAAACTGATTTTCTGTTACATTTGGTCAATTTTTTATTGGATTTTTTTATTATGTCTAAAGTGTGATACATATATTACAGATATCAGAAAAATACAGGAGATGATTTGTATGTTAGTAAATCAACTTGTATATATCACCGCAACTTATATCAATCTTATGAACAAAAATACAATTTATCGAGTTTAAACAAAACATTAAGTCAATTTAATAAGACAGAAATAATTGATGTATATGATAAAGCAGAAATGATTGATACATGTGGTGAGATAAAAATGATGGATACTTTTAGGTATATTGTTTCTTCGAAGTTCTATTTAATAACATACATAGTTCACTAATTTATCAAAATAGAATATCATTGATTAGTGATTCTTCGTCTTATTCAGAATCACTGTCTGGATCCATAACTAATGATGATGAACAAATATTATTCGAAAGCAATTCTGATTATTCTGAAGAGTCTCAGAGTTCAGAATACAATAGTCAAATTGATGATAATAAAGGTTGTTTACGATCTTCTTATCCTTGTAATATGTTGACTAATATATAAAGTTATGATTCTATAAGGATTAATATTACAAATGAAGTTGCTAAAGGGTTGTGTCTCTTTGAGATAAAGATCTAACGAAATATTACTGATGCTGCTTTTGAAGAAATTGTTGCTGCATCTAATAGTATTATAATAAGCCTGTATGAGTTGATAAAAACACTTAAAGATCTTGTTCTTCTTAAGCCAATTTGGGTTGATATATGTATAAACTTATGTTGTGCTTTTACTGGTAATTTTAAGATACTAAACAAATGTATTTATTGTAAAGCTGAACATAATCAAAGGAGAGGTTAATCAAGAGCCCAAGTAGCATATTTTTCCATTTGGAATCAATTCATCATTCAATATCAAGATCTAACATATGCAAAATAATTACACTATCATTTTGAATATGTTGCCAGAAAAGGATATAATATCGATAGTGTCATTAGTGATGTGTTTAATGGCATTCGATATAAACACTTATCACAAACAAGATATTTTTGAGATGATCGTGATATTGCACTTTTAGGTTCTATCAATAGCTATCAAAATATTCAAGCAAAAATGTAATGATTGTTAGATAATTTTATTTATTGATGCCAATTTACCGCTTGAACAACGTGTAAAGAAGGAAAATTTATTTATTATCTCAATTATTCTGAAACTCAAATCTCCAAAAGACTTCAATTCTTTTATGAAGCTAAAAGTCGAAGAATTATGTTTATTAGAAGGTAATTTATTTAATTTATTTGTTATTATTATTTATATATATTTAAATCAAATTAATTGTAACTTTATAGATGATGTTGATTGTTATAATAGTACAATAAATGAGAAGTTCCTCTTGAAAGTTACTGTACTTTCCGTATTTAGAGACACTCCTAGATTATCAAAACTCACTTGTTTAACTAGCTATAACTCTTATATAGCATGTCATTATTGTGATCTTTGAGGAATATATAGTAATCATGTATATTATCTAACTATATTTCTATCAGATAAAGCAAATAAAACATATGATCCATCAAATTTACCGATAAGAACTCATAGAGATTTTAAGACAAGAATAGAACAAATAGAGAAGATACTACTATCAAAATCATGAGATTTATTAGCTTCTGAATTAGGTAAAAAATAACCAATATATAGTCTCATTTTTTTTGTTTTAGATGAATATTAATTACTATTTAAATAGGTATTACAAGGCTTAGTATTCTTTTAGATATAAGATCAACTTACTTTCCTATATATCTTCCAGTAGATATCATGCATTTATTCTATAAGAATATTGCACTATATTTATAAAAGTTTTAGTTTTAAAGTTGAGATTGGTTCTTTACAAACTTCACCAAAGTTAACTGTAACAAAAGTTACAAGTAGTAAAATTTAGAAATATTTTATAAAAGATAGTAATTATAAATAAAATAAAAAAGCTACTTGTAAATTTTGTAATAAAGTTTATACTTGTTCAGGAGAAAATACATCAAATTTAACAAAATATTTAAACAAATTTCATAATACAAAAATGAAAGGAGGTAAAAAAATTTCCAAAGAATTAACTATTAAAGATATATTTTTATTATTTTTTTTTTTTTGAATAATTAAAGTTTATTAATTATATTTTTTTTAAAATTATTTTTAATTAGTGAGTATATAGTAATAGTAAAATGAAAAAAAATTTATAAAATGTATTGTTATTTATCAATATCTATTTACTATTGTAAAAATCTTATTTTATTAAATTTGTTCACTCACTTTATCCTGAAGTAAACATTTCTTCTACAAATACTATTAAAAGAAATATTATAGATCTTTATGAATTAAATTAAAAAAAATGTATAAATAATTCTTTAAAAATTTCCTGAAAAAATTACTTTTACTATTGATATTTGGACTTATCCTTCAACAAAATTATTTTATGTTTAATAGGTCATTTTATTAATATAAATTAGAAGTTACAAAATACCATAATAGATTTTATAGAAATATTTGAATTAAATAGTGAAGAAAATATTAAAGAAGTATTTGTATTATTATTAAAAAATTATTCTATTTAAAATAAGGTAAAATTTATAATTTAAATTTATTTTATTTAAATAAATAATTTAAATTAAATTAATATTAATAATTTT